GACACCCACAAGCTTTTGTGCATCCAAGACACATCCCTTTTAGCTCCCTACAACAGCACTGGGAGGAGAAGTGGTTTAGAATACAAAGTTGGCTGCAAGCAAACATACCACCATGAGGTCCTCAAATAAAATCATAACATAGCTGCACATGCAAATTGCAGGAAAATATGATGAGGTTTATTCCTGGCTACCACAGAGTTCATGAATTTGAGTTTCAGGAATTTGGCTGCCTCTAGTAGGGCTGAACTCTTAAACCAGCCCTTGGGATCACAGAACAGAGCATGGCAAACTGACAGATGTAAGACTAGTACTACACTGCAAATAATAAGCTACCTGCCATACAGATGAAACGAGGAAAAAGAAGAAAGTTGAAGTTCAATGTAATTGTACAGGATTTGTCAGGTTCATCTGTAAGTATATTGGGGCTGGATCATCACCTGTACTGATTGACAGTATTCACTGAAGATAAAAGCATTGTATTAGTCTAAAGCAACTGAATACACGGCTCTGCTGAATACTAGTTGACACGTTACTTGCACTGACATTGTATTTGATGTTGTAGTGACGAACGCCCCAGCGACTATGTTCGTACAGTCACTCAGTACCAGCGACATAGGGATGTGCCAGCACAGCACCCTGCCATACTGACCCACGCTAGCTTTACATCTCTCCGCATTGAGGCACATATTGCTTTAGCACTGACTTTTTACTTCTGACAAATCACCCGATTCCTCTCTAATGGTCATTTATAATTCACTATTAAAATGCATTTGTACTGAAGACCACACTGTATCCCAGGAAAGTATGGACAACTAAGAGAAAGCTTCTGCCACTCTAATTAAAGACATAACTACATGCACCCCTACAAACAAGCTAGCTTTAACTCACAGTACTAGCAAGAAAAATGACTTTATCTGTTTTAGCAGTGAAGTGTATTTTTTCACTTGTTTCATCTATAGAATCATCTCATTGACTTTTTCTTGGCCTATAAAGGCCAAACACAAATGATGTGGTAGATAGTAGCAGAAGCACTTTTTCATGTCAGTCAGATTAGAGTTAAATCCCTGTTGCATTTAGGAAGGAATTTGATAGAGAATGGGCACCTTAGAGAAAAGGCAATGTGATTTCTAGCAGCCAGTTTTGATGTAGCAATCCGAGTTTCTTGCCACACCTGTTTTCTTAACATAAGGCAGTAAGATTGAAAGAAAAACTTGGAGAGAAAACCCCAGGCTAACGTGTGCATCTTTGATTCGCGTACTCCAATTGCTATGATGGGGAGAGAGTCGATGCCTTCTTCCCCCCTCCTCACAGTTTGAAAAAAGATAATAGGACAAACACTGTATTATTTTTAAGAGAATATGTCAAGATGAAAAAATGAAAATGTCAAAAAAGAGGCTGATATACAGCATTACTTAAGGACTGTTTTGTTGAGAAAAACTGACCAAATGATTTACGAGAAGCTTTTAACAGGGCAGTCTTTGGATTACAGTTAAGATGAAAAATAAATGAAAATCTATTTCAAGTTTACTTTAGCCTAGTCATTTGACAGATGAGGGCAAAACCTGGCAAGAACACAAGTTTTAATCTTCAGATGTAGCGACTTTATTTGCAGTTTTGCGGATTAGAAGTTTTCTCTGTGCAAAATAAGAGCTATCTGTTTTCAGACATTTCCTGTCGAAATTGCTTTTTCTACCTGAAGCTCCCATGAGAGGCACGTGAGTAAAAAGACTAAAGGACCGATGCTTCTGCGCATGGCACAAATTACCACATACAGAGATTGTCCCGACTGTGTTGCAGACAGTGTGTCCACCACCTTCTTCCCTTCCTAATCCTTCTTTCAACCCTGCCTCTTGAAACACAGCCCTCCTAATTAATTACTGGATTAAGCAGCCTAGTAGTACCAAGCCTGCTCGTGGCTGGAGGTGGATCTTGGAGCATGGACTTGTTCTCAGTATGCAGAGCCTGGCACATTTCTGCCTGGCCAGATGGGTCCCCCATCTGCTCCTATTTGAAGGAGAACTTCCAGAAATTAGGGTTTTCCTCTTAACCCTTGTTCGTGTGATTCCTTTCCTTCCTATTTTCATTCAGGTTTTTTTCCCTTTCATCAAAATCACCTGAAGCACATCAGATTCAGATTTAAAAGCCAAAGGCATAGCTCTGCACAGTTTTAGTGCACACCCGGCATTAAATTAGCACTGCTCTGCACAAAGGCTACTAAACTGGAGCTGCATCAGTACAGCAAAGGGCTTCTTTTGGGTAGAGTAGTAACACAGCTGAAATTATTTCTAGCGTATAGGCTATAGAGAGCCTAGCAACATCAAACCAAACTGCCAGGAGTCAAAGGTAGCTTTCTGATGTTTGCTCAAGCTATTAGAGTATACTATAATATTTTTCAGTATAGAATTTATAGATTGAGAGAAGTAGTTGATCTTTTTGAGACTAGTAAAAAAAAAATCAAGATTGGAAAATGGAGAGCTGATATCTATGAAAATCTGCCACAGTTCTATATTTATTATAAGCCTATCACAGCACATCCTGCTCAAAGACTTACAGAAAATGTGTTGCTAACTACCAGGGAATTATTGATTTTTTAATTTTTTCCCCTCATAGTGCTATTGCTTGCCTGTGGTAGAACCGATAACTTAGAGAGGAGAGCGAAAAAAAAAGAAAAAAAATCAATATTACTATCATCAACTGTTGATTACAGTTTACAGCAGCAATAATCTCCTTTAAAATAGCTTGCAGAAGTACCAGTTGTCATCTACATAAGATATTACTGTTTTGGTCAAATCATTAAATGCAGATAGTATTTGATGTTTTGATGATTTTGTTTTGGTTAAACTAAGTTTTGGTGACCATCAGTATTGTCTAAACTTCAGGTCTGAACCATGTTTGGCTGAGAATTGCAGTGTCTGCTCTTGGCATTATTTTTTTGTTACTGGTAAGAGTGATGTGTTCCCCTCATTAAGAGCAACTAATTTGCCATATCCCAGACTGTTTCGTACATTGTGTTTTAGTTCAGTATTTAGATATGTCCTCAGTCACTAAGGTCTGTACTTCCTCCAGTAATGTCTGAAGTTACATGATATTTGTCACTGGTTTCCCCCCACACACCTTCTTCCCATAGAGGTAGTTACTGCAGGGTAATGCTTTCTGTCCATAAAGTTTGCTGAGCATTTTTTCAAATGTTGGACTGGGAAAGCATAGTTCTGAGATGCTTCCTAGTCACTATACCACCTTAGGATGGTCTTCAGCAGAGCTGCTTCTCCAGAGCCCAGAGCAGTGTAAAGCTCCTACACTGTAAAGCTTTACTGTGCCAGAACAGAAGTGCCACCTGTTACATCTACCTTAGCAGTTTGGTTTGGCGCAATAATAGGACTATTATGCGCTTCACCTAATTTTCCCCATTTTTTGCACACTAGATTATTCACAGACCAATTTTGGCACTCACAAGCTAGATTCATTTCAGAGAAAACTAGCTACATGTTCTGCATGAGCTGGGCACAAAATACAAGAAGCACCTAATGAAGGCACAGGAATCCAAACCAACAGCCGACCTTCAAGACAGTGTTGAGCAACATGCACGGGGACATTTTGTTTAAGGGAACGGACTAAGTCTAGTCTCAAATAAAAGCCCCAACTGTTTACACTATGGATGTAGGGGCCTCAACGTTAGCTTCTCTGATCTACTGACCCACTCCTTATATAGCTCATTACTTGCAGATGTAGATGTAACCATTCAGAGATTTAGGCCTTCTTCCAAATGCCTTGGAGAAAGTGCCTGCAGAGTTAATTTGATTCACAAGTCTACAGTATCTTGGAGGTACTTTTAGATTTTAACTTATTTTGACAGCTTCTTCTAAAGGCCACAGACATACAGTCCACAAGTGCTGAATACACATAGAAAAGACAGTTATCAGTCTTCTAAAATGCAGTGGGTGTTTCCATAAATGTGAATTTATAGCTGAATGTGTTTACATATAATTTTATGTCATAGTTTCGAGATGATGAATAAACTTTAATAAATGATTTGGTTATGAAGAGGATTACTTCTGTGATTATTAGTAGAACGAAATCACAAGAGCAATAGTTTTTAATGCTAACATGATATTCAAAACTTTCAATGAGGAAACAAAAGCCAGTTTGCAAGTTTTTTTGTAATAGAATGTAGTGTTAATCTCTTTGTTGACATCACAAACTACCCTTAAATACTTTATAAAACATGTATGTAATGATAAATACTAAACTTTGCATGCTAGAACATGCTATATGTACTTCTCCAAACACTGGGAGAAGTGCTGACCAGAGAAGCCAGTCACTTGTTGGCAGTCTCACAAGTGGAACTAATTAGATGTAGAAGGAGCTGTCACTCTTGCCCTCCTCCTGCTCACATCAGAAGGCTACCCTGCCTGCCAACCTAACTGCTTAGCTTATGCTATTTTTACCCTTCCATCTTTTTCTGATATTGACTTAAAGCCTGTAATTTGTTACACCTGGAAATGCATCTGTTAAAGTTAAGGGTCTAAGAAACATGCCAAGGTCCACCCACGTAGAGCCTATCACTTGTACAGAAAGTATTTCAAAATCTTCCAAGTTAACATTAAAAGACATTCTAGATGCATAGTTTTTCAGGTAGATGGGTCAGACAACTGCCACTCATGCTTGTGGAGACAGGGGTTAACAAGAAGTTGTAGTGGAGCGGTTTTGCTTATATTATCTACAAGCTAAATGCAATATAGAATATTACCACAAGAACTTTTTTCTAGAACAATACAAAAACCCTAATGAAACTGCATTTATGATATAACCTCAATAAAAATTTTAATAATGCTTGTTCATATATCACAGCTGTCAAGAGAAATTGATAGTTCATATTATATTTGAGACATACAGTGTTGAGTTGTCTAGAAAAAGTGTATAGTCACAGTTTGATTATTAGTAGCTTTTAATGATTTAGGAAATAGAAATCTAAACTTGTCCATCTCTCTTATCTTTTAAAGGAGCATTATTCTGAACCCAGCTTATTTCCGGAACCACCTGCGCCAAGCTGCTGTGTTTAGGTGCTTAAAGAGATACTCTGAAGCTGCAAGGTACTCTGGGGCTCGTGGATTTCTAATGGTTTCTCTACATCTCTTTCATTTCAGCTCTCAGTAGTAAGGATATCATCTTAAATCCAGGCTTTTCAAAAAAATCGGTGGGAGCTTTGTGTTGGCTTTCTGTATATCATCTCACATGCAGCAGAGCTCCAATACTCCCAGTTGGCGTAACGTAAATAATCCCAATTATGTCCCTAGTTGCGGTTAGGCTAACACATGTAGGAGCATTTACTTGTTCTGGGGCACAGGGATGAGCCCTGATCAGGTCCAGGGCTGTGCTGGGGCAAAAACTACAGGCACACAAGCATCTTCCACACCCTGGTTTCCTTCAAACCCTGGGCAGAAGCTCGGGTGTGCTCTGAATGGAGGGGGGGGTGGGAAGAAAGGAAAAAAGAAAAAAATAATCAAGATCTCAGGGTACGCTGTGGTATGCTGCAAAATTTAGCCTGCGTGCAGCTGATGAGATTGCTGGTGTGAACGGGAACTGCTGGCAGAAGGAAAGCCTGCAAGAGGAAGTTCTGCTTGTATGCTTGCATTAACACTGCCAAAAACTAAAAGTTTCAACATGCGGCAGAAGTTTTTAACCACTTAACACGCTTAAATGAAAGAAATACATGAGGAAATGCAATGGTGATTTGGCATGTATCACCATTACTACTAACATTAGACACTTACAGAGGAGTGTTCAGCTGAAGACCACAAGGTGTATCACAAAATATTTCACAAATCATTAGCTAACTAATGGCAGAAGAGTCAGTGTGAATTAGGCAAGAGACTGAAAGGGTCGCTTTGCTCATCATTTAAGATGGATGTTAGTGGTAGATCTCTGAAGCTGTTAAAATAGCAGCAAAACAGTTTGTACAGGGAGCCGAAGAAGACTTTATCCAAGCAGAGTTGCAGACAGCATTTGGGAGGATGAACTTCAATTTTTTGTGCTGCATTCAGCCAAAAACTCCATGATGAGCACTTTTGCTTCTACAGGACACTCATTGAGATCATGTCAAAGTAATCTCCACTAGCTTCCACACATCAGGACAGGAGAAGAAATCAGTTCCCCAAGGCAAGGAAACAGTGTTTTCCAAATTTCTTTAGAAATATAATTTCAGATAAACCAGGAATATATCACTTGACTGTGAACCACCCCCTTTTTTTTTTTTAAAAAAAAAAAAAACACACCACAGCTCACTTTTCAAACAAAGCTGTTTGAAACTAAGTGAAACATTTTGTTGAAAAACAATGAAGTGCTGTGATAGTTCCCAGATCTCCTTTTACATCTCTCCAATAACAGTCTCTTCTTCCTAAAAATCTTGTTGGAGTGTTGATTCAGAGAGCAATTGTCCTCTACTGAGCCATCAATAGTTGAGGTCCACTGATCAGCCAGACCTTTTATAGCTGTGTTAGGAGAGTATGTTGCTTTGTGACAGGTGGGAAATCCTGCCCAGGATACTTTCAAACCCAAAATTCACTGGTATCCCAACAGGTGAAGTGATACAAGGGGAATTGTTTGGGGTGCTGAGGGAGGAAAGGAGGGCTTTCCCCTCAAAGTCAGGTTGAAGATTTTTGGTTTTTATTAAAATAATAACAATAATAAAAGTTAAAAACAATACACTTTCAGAAACTGATCTTTCCTAAGAAGAAATACATATAAATGCCCATATTTGGGAAGATAGTTTGAACCAAGAAGGTGTTCATAAATATGATTTCAAAAATAATTTTAAAAAAATTGTGGTTGGTGTTACTGCAGATAAGCAATCAGTAAGTTTACTACATCAGCAGGCAAGAGGGAACTCTGTCAGCCTTTTTCCCCCCACATTGAGTAGCTCTCAGGAAACTAGATGATTTTAAATGAGATTATGTATTTTGTAAAGGAGAGGAACATTCTGACAGACTGAATCCAGAGCGGTT